CCCCTCTCCGCCCTTCCCCCCCAAAAGGGGCCCCCCCAACCCCCCCCCCCCCCCCCCAAATTTTTTTCCCTTTTTTGGGTAAGAAAAAAAACCCCCCCCCCCCCCCGGGAAAGGTTTGCCCATGGGGGTTGGTCAAAAAAAAATTGTCCCTCCCCCCCCCGAGCCGGGGGTTAACCCCCTAAAAAAACCCCCCCCCCCCCCCCCCCCCCCCCTTCATTACCGTAACCCCTCGCTCCACAGCGCCTGGCGCGAGGTTCCGGGAGGCGGTGAACATGGGGTCCTTCACAGGGGGGTCGAGCTCCCTCAGCCGGGCGATAGACTCGCTCCGAGAGGAGTTCGGTCCCGACCGCTACAACGTCCTGACGAGGAACTGCAACAGCTTCTCGTCCGCTCTGTGCGAGGAGCTGGTGGGGAAGCCCATCCCGGGCTACGTGAACAGGCTGGCTTGGATGGGTGAGCAGAGATAAAAAAAGAAGGGACGAGGTGGAGGAGCGGGCAGCTGCTCCTGATGCGGCCGCTGTAGTAGGTTGAACAGAGACGGTGCACGCTTTCGCTGCTGACTCGCTTTTCTCTCTCTCTCTCTCTCTCTCTCTCTCTCTCTCTCTCTCTCTCTCTCTCTCTCGGGTGTGTGCTGTTGGTTCTTTTGCATTCGATGCCGCTGGGCATGCCTGCCACTGCACGTGTTCTTCCCAGCGGGTTGTCGGGCACAGTACTATTATAGTGTACTCCGTAAGACTTACTGCCACCCCTCTCAACTGATTCCGTCGTGTCTGTACACCCCCTCTCTGTCCTTCTCTCTTTCTCCCTCTCTTTCTCCCTCTCTTTCTCCCTCTCTTTCTCCCTCTCTTTCTCCCTCTCTCTGTCTCTCTCCCTCTCTCTCTCTCTCTTTGTCTATCTCTCTGTCTCCATCTCTCCCTCTTGTGCCGGCAGGCTCTTGGTTTTCTTGCCTGATGCCGCCGGGCATGCTGGGAGACGCGCCCGTAAACCAGGGCGGCTCGTCGTCGTACAACGCGGGCTACTCGATGCTCGCACCCCCCGGGAGAAGCAGCGGCCCCGCCGCGGTCAGGGGGGGAGGATCGAGAAACGCGTTCCAAGGTGCGTCTCGTCGCGGCCACGGAATGCTATCGTACAATGATGCGGATGCATGCGGGAGTTTTTTATGACTATTGTTGCATGGTGGTTTTGTTATACAGCGGGATGCATCGAAACAGAAACCAAAAATAAACGGCGGAAGTACAGTTGTAGAGCATCGCGCGGAGGACACAGGGGCTTGCTATCGTCGGGGGAAGAGGCGAGAGAGGTAGTGGGCGAACGGAGGAAAGCAACCAAACCAGCAAATGTAGCAATAGGTATCGATCACTTCCCCAGGGTGGGAAAGTGTGACGTGGTTTGAAGAGCCTCCTGCTGTGCACGCGTTCCCGATGGTAGTTGCGGAACACCAGTAGCATCTCGTACTAGAATACGGTGCGGGTACATGGAAGCAATATCGGGATACGTTGTACATATGAATACGATGGAACGAGTTTTACCTTGAGGACACCCTGCGCCGCAGAAGGAAGGTGGGGGGCTCTCGAACTCTCTATAACCACGAGAAGTTATTTTGCCCTTTGCTCAACCTTTTTCGGTGAGACTTTTCGCGTCTGCGTCGATTCCAAAGCACACACAAATCTCGGGGGGCTCTTTTCAAACCAAAGCAAACACTTGGGGGCTTTTTCAACATGATGTCCAAGACCTTTCTTTCTTTTTGTTTTACATGCTGCTTTTGTCGCTTTTTGCGCCCCCGTTCGCTCGTTCTCAGGCTCGGGGATGACTCTCGCGGGCTCTGGAGGGAGTGCGGGGACAACAAGCGGCAGCAGCACTGGGGGGACGGGGACGGGCCGGGAGGGCGAGCTGTCAGACCGGAGGGAGCGGATGCGCATGGCGGCGTTGCGGCGGGCGGAGGCAGCATCGGCGTCGGCCGAAGCGGCTGCCGGGAACAATGGGGGCGGCGGCAGCGCTGCCGCATCGAGTCTAAAGATGTCGTGACCACGTTAACCGTGTCATGAGCAGAGACGTGGTTTGCTCGCGTAGTTTGTCGTGGGGCGACGTTGTATGTAGATGTGCCTTTATAGAGGTGTCCCCTTCGTCCCTTCGTAGTAGTGATATGGGTGTGGAAGCTGCTGTCGACGGCAAGCGTCAGAGGAGTACGACCCCCCGCCGCCCCCGCAGGCTCGCGTCCAAATAATTCGCCGCGTTTCGGCGGTATCCCTTTGGTTTCTTTTGTTGCGATCTTTCACTCCGTCGCACAACTCCGATGACTTCCGGATCTCGAGGGCAACAGGCACGATAGCAGGGGGGGTTACTGTTGGGTAGGCGAGGCACCGCGGATGAGACGCGACGCCTGGACCAAACTTGGGGGAACTGATTTTTTCCGTCTTTCCGACGTGGACTCTTGAGTGTCTTGAGTGAGTGTAGGGTTTCTGACTCGGGGGCACCGCCGTGTCAACCTGGGGTGACTCTTCTCACGCCAACGGCGGCGAGCAGGCGGATGCAAGCATATTCCCTCAAGGAAACACAATCATATGTGAGGGAGGGGGGGGAAGTCTAGATGCTGCTGCCTGGTCTCGCCCCGACACCGGCGGCCGATGCGTTTTTCAGTACACCCAGGCAGGATTATGGGATTCCATGAAAAGTCGAAGGCTCACCGGCGACGCCGAAAGTTATGGTGGGTAGTTAGATGGGTAAAAGAGGGGAGGAGGGTCCTGGTTTGCCCCAACCTCTGTGGCCGACGCAAGGTTTTCTTGTCCTCGGGCCTGTCGGCGTGTTTTGACGTGCAGCATGTTGGTGTCATGATGTACAGCTGTACCATAGTTGTTTTCGTGAGAAAAAAGGGGAGTAGGGGGGGGGGGGGTGTACTCATAGTCGTGCATGTCGTAGTCGTTTGACCATTGACCTCGCATCCCTACAAAGCCGGGACGGAGCACGCCGGGTTCTTACCGGACCAGGCTCTCACATCACCAAGCGCAAAGCGCCGTGAGGTATTTGGCGAGTCGCATGAAGGGTGAGCTGCCATCCTGCTAAGGGTGTTCGGCATCTTGTGCTTACTTCCTTGCGTACGGATGACAGCTACGTATGACTTAATTTATTTTCTGGTGCTTTCACTTCCAGAGACAGTTGTAAGCACTGTGTAACTGCCTCAAGGAAGCTTGACCATTTTAACACAACGTGGTGCGATCATCCCCGTTGCGCGGAGTGAGGTTTCTCGACCCCGCACAACATGATCTACTCGACCACCATTATGGTTACCGCCAAAAAAAAAAACCGAGGAAAAAAAAAAAAAACGGTAACCTGGTTGCCGAGTTCACGAAGTGAAATGGCTTGTTTTACAACGTCGTTGCCAAGCGACGAAAACCCAATCCCGATGGCAAACACCGAGTGGGGGGCTTGTTTTACAACGTCGTTGCCAAGCGACGAAAACCCAAACCCCGTTGGCAAACACCGGGGGGGTGGGGGAGTAGGGGGGGGAGGGCAGAAATAACCCTTTGTTGTTGGGCAATCGATTTTTATGACACGAGAGTTTCGCTTGCATTACTAGTGCTGCGCTGCTTTGGGGTTGACTGCTGGCTTGATCGAGCGCGCGCACCGCTGGCAAATATTTCATGAAGTACATACATGTGTGTCGTTTGGTTCCTCCCTGGGGGCTGGGAATGAATCAATCCGGTCAATTGCATCACACCGGAGCTCGTCCAGGGTAAATCGGCGTTAGCTGAGTCCTAGGAGAGAAGTCGGCGCGGGCATCATTGCGAAGCGGTGGAAGAAGAAGAAGAAGAAGAAGAAGAAGAAGAAGAAGAAGAAGAAGAAGCACGCCGCTGCGTGCGTGGGGTCGCTGGTGTTGGTGTTGTGTCTTGAGTCATACACCGTCCGCACAGCAACAAGAGACAGCAAGCAAAGCAGCGTGGACTAGACTTTGAGTTGTCGACGAAAGCGCAGAACGAGGCGCCATGAGACAACCGCAACACCGGCAACGGCAACAACTAGCGGTTGCCGTGAGCCCTGTCTTGTTCGACTTCCCGCTCTGTTTACCGGTGTCGTTGTGTGACGCAGACAAGATGCACGGGGGGGGGTACTCTTATGTTTTGTATGCCTTGACCGTTAGACCACACGCTTCCTCGAGAGGATGGAGCATTGTTCCCCCCACAGGACCGATCACCGACGGCCAATCCTTATCTCGTACTTTGCCAAAGGTGCCCCAAAAATAAATGTTGTCCCCACCCTTTCTAATGCCGAGGGGAGCTATAGTCTAAGAAAGCAAACAAAACGTTCTTGCTTTGAGGACCGCGAGTAGTAGTTGTTGTGGCGTGTGGCGGTAGGAATGGATGTTTCTTTTGTTACTATTCTTGGATGAGAGAGAGATAGACAGAGTGACGGCGGCGACCAATCAATATGTTATTACATTTTTTTTTTTTTTTTGTCTTCACTTCAAATCAGCGCTCACAGCACTAGTAGTGCCGTTTACTCCAGCCCGTGGTACAATATGCAGTCAACGATCGGCTCCGGAAGAACGAGAATCGTGCAGCCTTCGGGCCCGCTACTAGAGGGAACGGGGGAGAGGGGTGATGATTCGGCAAGGAATAATAAGCCACGATACACACGGACGGATGTGACCGCGGGGCCCCAACCACCCGCTCTCCTCCCGGAAACAGATGTATCTTTCTGTCTGAGTGTAAACCTAGCTGCACTGTATGACTCGTTCTTCGGGATGAGGCCGCAATGCACCCAGCCACGTGCAAGTTGGGAGCCCGCTGCCTATGCGTCTCCTCTATGCTTCGCGCCCGCCTGTGTACGAGGAGCATTCTCTTGAAGTACCAGTTTTTGTTGGCGTTGCTCTCCCAAGCGTCGCGCCAGACACCGACGATCGACTCCTTCACCTTTTCACCACCACGATAGTCACCACCAGCGAAACATGGAAACGAACTTAATGGTCACCGACGGAAAAAGGATCACAGCGTTTAACAGACGACTCACGAAGCAGATTTAGATGTCGTTGTTGTTGCCATCACATTAATTATTATTGTTAGAAACCGCCGTTCGTTCCGATCTCTGCTCGGTACCCAATAATATCCGTTCTGGTGCAACTGACTGACGCGAACGACTCTTCCTCCTTCGTGGCAGGCTAACAACAAAATCTAGGCTACATACCCATTGAGGTAGGAATATACGAATATGTATAATGCAAGAATATCAAAAGAGCAACAACTACTACACAGACCAAAAATAAAAGGACCCAAAAGACACAAGTCAACACAGCAACCGCTCTATCTAACAAAAAGATACAAAAACCGGAAGAAAGTGTGCAACCGCCATGTGCACAGCAGTCAGACTTGGCGGGTGACACGTCGGGCAGAGGGGGTCGATATGTACGCAGAGAGAACTCGCAACTCGACACACGAGGCCGAGAAAAAAGAAGGTAGAACAGGCAAGATATTATTCAGAGATCACCGATGATCAAAGACGACAATATACATCGCAGCTTCTACGAACCGAGAAATACTACTGTAGTTTTTAGCAATCTCCACTCTTGTTTAGTATAAAAAGTGTACTCTAGGAGCACTGCAGTAGCCAATAAACCAAGCCTTAAATACTCCCAAACTGACAAGCCTTAAACATATTCTCCAAAGTGCAGTGGTGCGGACTAAGATCATCATCCCATCCTCAAACAAGTGCATTTTCCAGACAGAGGGCATTACAAGCAAAACCGTCCACAACAACAATGAATGGGTGCGTCTTTTGTGATTTCGCTGTAGTACTTGATACCTCGTGCGGTATCACAGCTGACTGGGCCACTACGTTAACATCTGCTGCTACCGTTTAGGTGATTCCTTGCAGAGACTGAATGAACAAAAGAGACAGACAGACAGACGTAACTTCACGAGGAAGAGATACAATACCCAAGAGCCAATGTACGGTCAAGACTGAACCACTCGTTTCGACATTCACTTCATTGCATGTAATAGCAGCATGCAAGGTAGGTTTCTTCCAACTACTCTGTGCGCCTTCCGATGTCACCACCACCACCCCCCCCCCCGCATGGCGCGGTCGTCGGTCCTATACCGCTTCACCGTCCGAAACACGCTCGGGCCGCGACGATGCCGAAAAAAAACACAAAAAAAAATGTTGAGCCCATTGTACACCAAAATTTCAGCCGCGCGTTGCTCCCCCAAGCTTGGTGCTCTAAAAAAAAAAAGAGGGAAACAACGACGGCGTCGCAAGGCAAAGCCGCCTATCTCTCTATGTACCGGCTTCTGCTTGTCCATACATCACCCCCCGATCATGTGCCTCTCTCCTATGCTATACTGTTGTGCCAGCCAACACCGAACACCGTCACAACATTTAATTATCTGGAGTTATGTTTCCGGCACGGCAGCCTCGAGCGGTCTGTTGCGTCCAAACCTGGTGCTTGTTGCTGTTGGTGCTGTCGTTTTGCAAACACAAGCAAACGCGGTCGGCCGTAACTCAACCGAAAACGACCACAAGCGTCGGCAAAACACGTCAAGCAACCAGCAAACGCACCTACATCAAGCCACACCGACAGGGATGATGACGCAGCGTCTTCTGTGAAAAAAAACTGTACAGACACAACGATGAATTATCTCTACCGTGCAACTGTACGGTGCCACAAAATTAAAAGAATAAATTATCTCTCACCGTACTACATACGATGCTGTGACAAAACACGTACAAGTCCCCCAAGGATGCCCCCCCCGCCGTCCCCTCCCCACTCCCTACTTCCGCTCTAGATGCCATTGATTGGCAATTGACCATATACAGCTGCAAGTGTATGCCCACATCCCGATAGCCCCCCCCCCCGACCCCCAACTGTTGCTGCTGTGGTTTTTGTTGTTGCCATTTTTCTTTCGTCGTCGAAATTCCACCCCGCGCATTGACGCACCATAACAACGGTCGTCGCGACCATAACTGCTGGAGAAGGGGACCTAGAACCTAACAACAATCGAGCAGAGCCGTGGATGGAGCGCTTGCTGCGTTAACGTGCAACAGCACCAAAGAGATAAAGTAAAGCTTTAGCGCTAAATCACGCCCCCCCCCCCCCCCCCCCCATAGGGACACTGGAACCCCCCCCCCCACTTTGAGGGCAAAGGGGGAACCCCACCAGC